TGTGATTCTAATGCCTTTTTAATCCAAAAACAAAACCCCCAAAACCCCAAAACCCCTAACATCACATTTTCTATTTAAATGGTTGATTAGAATAAATGAAAATCAAAAGCCTAAATTACTTTTATCAAAGATTATAATTATTTATATCTAAGCTAGATCTTCTGATCATTAGCTATGTATCTCTTCGCTTCATGCTTATTTTAGTTTCCTTTTTAGTTATTGTTTCTAAAAGTTTCTGACTTCTTTCATGTTTATCTATCTTTGAGTTTAAGACTGGGAGGAACTAAGAAGCATGCTATTGAAATAATTTGTCTTTTTTGAGACAGTTAAATTGCTGTGAGGCACTTTAAATATTTTGGTAGATGGTTTTTTATTCATCTATATAGTTTTTCATCATGATTTTACTTCTACTGGTGTCACGCTTTTGAACTTCTTTGGCCGTATATGTCTACCCTTTTGCTATTCTCTCGATAGCTTCCTGCGAAAGTGTCATTTTTCTATCTTCTATTTATACTTGGTCAACTTAATTTTAGAACCGGACTGAAAAGGTGGAAATAGGGTTTTGTTGAGTGGCATTTTAATCAAATGTTGATTATATTCTACTGCCAAGGGAAAAAGATTCTCTCTTCGAACTATTCATGTTAAAATCCTTAATTTTAGTTCTCATAGATTGGCTTTAACTGCTTCCTCGGCATTAGTTTGGCTTTATCTAAAACATAGTATTCTTAGAAGGTGAATCATTTGAGATTGCATCACAAAATCGATAAGAGTTGGGTGATTTTGCTAATTCTTTTATAACTTCAATCTTTTGATGAGCATTTTTTATATTATTCTTTAAGACTCCTATGAATTCATTTGAAAAAGTGCTAGTAGTGGGTTTGTTTTACCTGATCAGAAAATCTTGAACTATTTCTTTTTATTTGATATTTTATTTCAAACAATCCTTGTATTCTTAAAGTAGATCTTTTTCCTCTGGATAAGGAGGTGAGTATTCCTTCAAACGAGTCTGAACTCTTTTTGGCAAACTTAGAATGTCATTTTCATGAATTTGCAAGCATTCACTGGGAAGCATTGAATACACATATATTGAATTATTACTCTCGGGTACTTCACTGTCATAATTAAGAATGTTGATATGCCCAAAGTAATCTCCCTTTTCTAACAGATCTATTTAAATAAAGGTTCCATTAGATAGCTTTTAAATTACTTGAAATCTACCACTTAAGATAAAATGAATATGTTTTGATTTCTAATCAGCCTAGATAACCACTGCTTTACTCTGGAAATTAACGATTCTTGACTTCATTGCCAGTATGATAACTTCGTATACGTCCATATCCTCGTTATCGAAGTATGGTGCATTATATAGAAATTCAATACTTCTTTCAATGACTGAAAATCCAAGCTATCACATTTGAGTGTTATAGTGGGTTTTAGGAAATCTCAATAAGTAAGTCTTTTACTTGGCAACTACAGTTTGAATCCTTGGCATTTTATATATCAGCTCAATATCACCAAAGTACTATAGTTGATTTAACTCAGTCACTGCAACTTTGTATTCCTCCTCAGTTACTTCGTTATAGACTATTTGATACATGACTATTTATCCAATGATTATGATATAGAAGTAATCAGCAGAATCACCCTTAGAGTATATTATATCTTTTTCTTGATACAACTGAAATTAGCCTCATCTCAATACTTCAATCACTTTATCTTATTGCGTAATACAGTTCTAGAAAATTTTACTTTCCTAATGTAATAAATCAATAGAATTTATATACCATAAGGAAATTGATGATTTTCTGATTTTCAATAGGTTTTCGATGATCAGGAAGAATGGAAAATATCTTAATCAACTCATTCTGGTATTATTCTAATCCAAGTAGCTCTGCTCTCTTATTCCTCAAGGTTTTTGATCGTTTCATTGCAAAAATTAATACAAATTATTATGAATTTATCAATAATTCTACAAAAATTAAGATTGAGGGGTTTTGGGGTTTTGGGGTTTTGGGG